AAGACAGATTAAGGGAAATAAATGACAGCCTAAGGAAGAAAAACCTACGCTTAATTGGGGTTCCCGAGGGCGCCAAAAGGGACAGAGGGCCAGAATATGTATTTGAACAAATCCTAGCTGAAAACTTTCCCAATCTGGGAAGGGAAACAGGCATTCAGATCCAGGAAATAGAGAGATCCCCCCCTAAAATCAATAAAAACCGTTCAACACCTCGACATTTAATAGTGAAGCTTGCAAATTCCAAAGATAAAGAGAAGATCCTTAAAGCAGCAAGAGACAAGAAGTCCCTGACTTTCATGGGGAGGAATATTAGGGTAACAGCAGACCTCTCCACAGAGACCTGGCAGGCCAGAAAGGGCCAGCAGGATATATTCAGGGTCCTAAATGAGAGAAGAACATGCAACCAAGAATACTTTATCCAGCAAGGCTCTCATTCAAAATGGAAGGAGAGATAAAGAGCTTCCAAGACAGGCAGGAACTGAAAGAATATGTGACCTCCAAACCAGCTCTGCAAGAAATTTTAAGGGGGACTCTTAAAATTCCCCTTTAAAAAGAAGTTCAGTGGAACAATCCACAAAAACAAGGACTAAATAGATATCATGATGACACTAAACTCATATCTGTCAATAGTAACTCTGAACGTGAATGGGCTTAATGACCCCATCAAAAGGCGCAGGGTTTCAGACTGGATAAAAAAGCAGGACCCATCTATTTGCTGTCTACAAGAGACTCATTTTAGACAGAAGGACACCTACAACCTGAAAATAAAAGGTTGGAGAACCATTTACCATTCAAATGGTTCTCAAAATATACCCTAAAAACTATAGAACACTTCTGAAAGAAATTGAGGAAGACCCAAAGAGATGGAAAAATATTCCATGCTCATGGATTGGCAGAATTAATATTGTGAAAATGTCAATGTTACCCAGGGCAATTTACACGTATAATGCAATCCCTATCAAAATACCATGGACTTTCTTCAGAGACTTAGAACAAATTATTTTAAGATTTGTGTGGAATCAGAAAAAAACCCCAAACAGCCAGGGGAATTTTAAAAAAGAAAACCGTATCTGGGGGCATCACAATGCCAGATTTCAGGTTGTACTACAAAGCTGTGTTCATCAAGACAGTGTGGTACTGGCACAAAAACAGACACATAGATCAATGGAACAGAATAGAGAACCCAGAAGTGGACCCTGAACTTTATGGTCAACTAATATACGATAAAGGAGGAAAGACGATCCACTGGAAGAAAGACAGTCTCTTCAATAAATGGTGCTGGGAAAATTGGACATCCACATGCAGAAGAATGAAACTGGACCACTCTCTTGCACCATACACAAAGATAAACTCAAAATAGATGAAAGATCTAAATGTGAGACAAGATTCCATCAAAATCCCAGAGGAGAACTCAGGCAACACCCTTTTTGAACTTGGCCACAGTAACCGGAGAAGGACAAACAGTGTATGTTCTCATTCATTTGGGGAATATGAATAATAGTGAAAGGGAATATAAGGGAAGGGAGGAGAAATGTGTGAGAAATATCAGAAAGGGAGACAGAACATAAAGACTTCTAACTCTGGGAAATGAACTAGGGGTGGTGGAGGGGGAGGAGGGCGGGGGGTGGGGGTGAATGGGTGACGGGCACTGAGGGGGACACTTGACGGGATGAGCACTGGGTGTTATTCTGTATGTTGGTAAATTGAACACCAATAAAAATTAATTTATAAAAAAAAAAATATTGTGAAAATGTCAATGTTACCCAGGGCAATTTACACGTATAATGCAATCCCTATCAAAATACCATGGACTTTCTTCAGAGACTTAGAACAAATTATTTTAAGATTTGTGTGGAATCAGAAAAGACCCCGAACAGCCAGGGGAATTTTAAAAAAGAAAACCATATCTGGGGGCATCACAATGCCAGATTTCAGGTCGTACTACAAAGCTGTGGTCATCAAGACAGTGTGGTACTGGCACAAAAACAGACACATAGATCAATGGAACAGAATAGAGAACCCAGAAGTGGACCCTGAACTTTATGGTCAACTAATATTCGATAAAGGAAGAAAGACGATCCACTGGAAGAAAGACAGTCTCTTCAATAAATGGTGCTGGGAAAATTGGACATCCACATGCAGAAGAATGAAACTGGACCACTCCCTTGCACCATACACAAAGATAAACTCAAAATGGATGAAAGATCTAAATGTGAGACAAGATTCCATCAAAATCCTAGAGGAGAACTCAGGCAACACCCTTTTTGAACTTGGCCACAGTAACCGGAGAAGGACAAACAGTGTATGTTCTCATTCATTTGGGGAATATGAATAATAGTGAAAGGGAATATAAGGGAAGGGAGAAGAAATGTGTGAGAAATATCAGAAATGGAGACAGAACATAAAGACTTCTACCTCTGGGAAATGAACTAGGGGTGGTGGAGGGGGAGGAGGGCAGGGGGTGGGGGTGAATGGGTGACGGGCACTGAGGGGGACACTTGACGGGATGAGCACTGGGTGTTATTCTGTATGTTGGTAAATTGAACACCAATAAAAATTAATTTATAAAAAAAAAAAAGAAAGAAATTATCCTGAGGGTGGTATATCTGGAGCCATAGAAGACTTTTCAGAAAAGGAGCAACATGACCAAGCTTTACTTTCAGAAGATCACTTGGGCTGCCATGGAGAGAATGAAATGGAGAGGCAGAAATGTGAATGGTAGGGAAACAAATTAGGAGACTATTGGATCACCCCGTGGGAGATGGCAACCTGATCTAAGGTGTAGTGGCTATGAGAGTGGAGAGAAGGACAAATTCAGGAACTGTTCAGATTGGTCAGGTATGTGGTATGAGGGCAAATGAGAGAAGGTTGGCTCCCAGGTTCTGGATTGGCTAGTGATTTGAGCTGGAAATAGGCAGTTGAGTCATCACCTTGATGATACTGAAGCCACTGGTGTAGATGAGTTCTGAGTCTGCAGAATGTTGATTTGGATGGTGGGTGTGGAGTGCCACGTTCAGGGCCTGACTAGGATTCATTGTCTCTTCTGGCTAGATCACTCTCCTTTTTTATTTGTTCATCAAATATTTGTTGAGTATATAGTATTACATGCCAAAGGGCTAGGGACATCTCACTGTAAAAAGTCCCTGTTTTGATGCAGCTTATTTTTTAGCATAGCAAGACTGGCAACACTAAGAGGTAACATAATCTAGCCATTAAGAGCACACACTTGGGAGCCATTCTGTTCAGGTTTGAATCCCAGCTCTACCATGTCCTGAGCAAGCTACTAACCTTTCTGTTCCTCAGTTCGCCCAACTCTAAATTGGGAATAGTAATAGTGCTTAGTGCATAGGGTTGTTGAGAGCATTAAACTAATCAAAGTGCTTAAATCTAATGCCTGTACCATAGAAAGCGCTATATGAGGGTTTTCAATTATTTAGTTTTTTAGGTAGATGCTATGGAGAAAATGGAGTGGGAAGTGGGAGATTGATCTAGCATGGTCCAGAAAAGCCTCCCTGATATAGGAACATTTAAACAAAAACTTAATTGAAATGATATTGGTGTTAACAAAATTATAGGCAAAGATAAGAATAAATCCAGAAACCCTAAAGAGTAAGCATGTTTGACATCCTTAAAGATAGTAAGAAAACCAGTGTAGCTGGAGTGGTATGAGCCAGGAGGGACAATAGGTAGGAAATAAAGTAAGGAAAATTACATAGCGCCTTTGTAGCATTTAAAAACTTTGGCTTGGGATCCCTGGGTGGCGCAGCGGTTTGGCGCCTGCCTTTGGCCCGGGGCGCGATCCTGGAGACCCGGGATCGAATCCCACGTCGGGCTCCCGGTGCATGGAGCCTGCTTCTCCCTCTGCCTGTGTCTCTGCCTCTCTCTCTCTCTCTGTGTGACTATCATAAATAAAAAAAAAAACAAAAAAAAACTTTGGCTTTCCGTTCTTTCCATTCTGTGACTGGACCTCATGCTTCAGAAGTAGGCATGTGAGTTAGATCCAGGCAGTCAAAGCTTACACAATGATTATCCCTTATTGAAACAAGCACTTACTCAAAGCTAATTATGTTGCTAGAGTGAACATTCTGGGAATTTTGTTGCCAAGAAAGAAGGTAGGATTGTTGTTGAGAATGTGTAAATTTGGAGTTACTGGCAGTCTTCTTGCCTCAATGAGTTGAGGGCCTAAGAGTGGAAACAATGTAGAAGAAAATAGAAATATAAAGAGGGAAATATTGCTGACCACATCATTTGGTCCTTGGAGCAGGCTGTGCCAGAGTCTGAACCCCCACCTTAGATTTCGTGGTTACATGAGCCTCTTAAGCATTTTATTTTTGTTAAAGTCAGATTAGATTATGTTTTTGGTCACTTGCCAACCAAATTAAAGTAAGCAGAAGAAATGGAGTCATTGAGTCAAACTGAAAAGGAGTAAATGGCCTGTGAGAAAGGAAGAAAATCCAGAGTGAAGTCAAAGAAAGAGAGCATTTAAGACTACATTTTTAATGATTTTAACAATGTATGGTAAATTTAATTAATGTTAAAGCAAGGACACATGAAATTTGTCCAACAATCCTGGTGAAAGTATCCAGCACAAAATAGATAATTAAGGAACAGTTTCTATAATGGTAAAAATATATGTCATCTGCCATCAAATTGCAAACTCCTTGGGAGCAGGAACCATATTTTAATTTATGTTGTCTTTAGTAAATTAAATGAAGTCACTCAAATGTTTGACTTGCATTTACTCTATATTATGCCTTGTATATGTGAGTTAGTAGTTGGGAGATAGGAACCAACAGCAAAGGAAAGATAATCATAGCCCCCCACATTAAGCCAGGGATCCTGGCAGAGGCTAAAGTCATCCAGGGCCTTAATGTTCCCTAGCTTCTGGGAGATGTATATTTCTTTCTGGAAGACAGTGCCTTCAATTTGTGCCATCTGGTTTCTCAGAGATTAAGGTCTACCACCTAAGCCTATAACATTACCGAAAGAACGACATGGGAAAAAATTTTTTTATTATGAATTCATGAATTTGTGTGTTATCCTTGTGCAGGGGCAATGCTAACCTCTGTATCTTCCAAATTTAGTATATGTGCTGCCAAAGCAAGCATCAAATGGAAAAATTGAGAAACACATCATCATTAGGAGATTTCAACATACCTCTCTTCACCTATTGCTACATGAAGCAGGAAATAGTAAAGATTTAGAAGATTTGAATAAAACAAAAGTTTGATTCAACAAATAAGCAATTCAAACCCAACTGCTAAAAATGTGCATTCTTTGGGCAGCCCCGGTGGCGCAGCGGTTTAGCGCCGCCTGCAGCCCAGGGCGTGATCCTGGAGACCCGGGATCGATTCCCACATCAGGCTCTCTGTGTGGTGCCTGCTTCTCCCTCTGCCTGTGTCTCTGCCTCTCTCTCTCTCTCTGTCTTTATGAATAAATAAAATAAAATCTTAAAAAAAAGGAAATTATTTTTAAAAAATAAAAAATAAAAATGTGCATTCTTTTCAAGCATACATGGGATATTTTCAAATAGTAATGTACCATCCCATAAATGCCAGTCTCATCAAATTGCACCAACCAGTTCATCTTACCACAATGTTGTTAATCATAAGTCAGTAGAACAAAGCAAAATATTTCCTTTGAAGATTTAAAAAACTCTGAATAACTAGTCTATGTCAAAGGAGAAATCACAATGGGAATTTTCTAAACACTTGGAACAAACAATAGTGAAAATACTAAAAAATTAGATAATTGGGGCACCTGGGTGGCATAGTCAGTTAGGTGTCCCAACTCTTGGTTTTGGCTCAGGTCATGATCTTAGGGTTGTAAGATCAAGCTCCACATCAGACTCTCTCTAAAATAAATAAATCTTAAGAATGCCTGGGTGACTTAGGTGGTTAAATATCTGCCTTTGGCCCAAGTCATGATCTCCAGGTCCTGGGATCCAGCCCCACAACTGGCTCCCAGCTCAGTAGGGAGTCTTCTTCTCCCTCTCCCTCTGCCTTTTCCCCTGCTTATTCTCTCTCTGCTTCTGTCTCTCAAATGAAGAAATAAATATTTTAAAAAACCTTAAAAAATAGATAGTATACAGTAAAGTGAAACATAGAAATACGTAGTCTTATAGTATTCAATTTATAGTATTTTAATACTTGTCATGCTTGTATTGGAAAAATAGGGCTAATCCACCTTATGTTTAAAATAGAACAGAATAAATTCCAAAAATGTAAGTGAGCAGAAGGATGATTATTAAAAAAAAAAGATGATTATAAAAGTAGTATCAGAAATCAATGAGAAAGGGGGTGAGAGAACAATAAAAAATCAATAAAACTGAGAATAGTCTTTTTTTTTTTAAGTAAACTCTATGCCCAACTTGAGGTTTGAATTCACAACCCCAAGATCAAGACCCACATACTAAACTGAGGATGTTCTTTGAAGAAAACTGATAAAATAGATAAACTTCTAAGATTAATAGGGGGAAAGAAGACCCAAATATTTTTTTAAAGATTTTATTTATTTATTCATAGAAACACAGAGAATGAGAGGCAGAGACACAGGCAGAGGGAGAAGCAGGCCCCATGCAGAGAGCCTGATGTGGGACTCAATCCCGGGTCTCCAGGATCATGCCCTGGGCTGCAGGCGGCACCAAACCGCTGTGTAACCAGGGCTGCCCAGAAGACCCAAATATTAATGATAAAGGGAATATAACTACAGACCTATAAAGAGATTAAAATATAAAAATTCTGTGCCTGTAAATTTGAAAACCTTGACAAATTGGAAGAAGTTATAGAAAAATATGAAGAAAGATTCAAAATGCCATCATAGGAATGGAGAGAGACCTATAATTGTTAAGGAAGTGGAAATAGATGATTTGAAATCTCCCAGAAAGAAAATACAAGGTCTAGGTGTTTTTTACAAATAAATTCTACCAGTCTTTCAAATTCTACCAGTCTTACAGATCATTCCAATCTTATATAATCTCTTCCTGAGATGAGGGAAAAGAACAGCTCTAAACTCACTTTGTGACTCTAATATAATTTTGATACTGCAATCAGAAAAGGACAGTATGAGAAGGGAAAATTATGTTTTCAAATAATTTATAGACACAGTTCAAAAAATCCAAACTAAATATTAGCACATTTAATTTAGAAATGTATTAAGAAGATAATATATTGTGACCAAGTTGGGAATACCCTAGGAATGCAAGATCGTTTAACATATAAATATATGTTATTAACTACTTTTACAGATGAAAGAAGAAATGTCATGTGAAGGCATTTAAAGCATTCTGTGGTCACTCAATTTAAAATAAATTCCTAATTAGCTAGGAATAAAACTTTCTATATCTGATAGCATATCTACCAAACTCTGGAGTAAATACTTTTCTTGATAATGAAACGTCATATACATCACCTTTAAAATCATAAAACAGGGCTGAATTGTGTCACCTCAAAATTCATATGTTGAAGACGTAACCCCCAACGGCTCAGAATATGACGGTATTTGGAGATAGAGCCTTTAAAATTTAAGGTAAAGTGATGTTATATGAGTAGGCCCTAATTCAATGTGACTAGTATCCCAATAAAAAGAGGAGAGGGGAGCCCCTGGATGGCTCAGTCAGTTAAGTGTCTGGTTTTGGCTCATCATGATCTCAGAGTCCTGGGATTGAGCCCCACATCAGGCTCCAGGCTCAGCAAGGAGTCTGCTTCTCCCATTCCCTCTATTATTCCTTCACCCTCTACCCCTCACCCCACTTGTGCTCTCTCTCCATCTCAAATAAATAAAATCTTAAAAAAAAAAAAAAAAAAAAAAGAGGAGAGACACCAGAACTTGCACACAGAGAAATAACAATGTGAATAGATAGTAACAGAGTAGCTGTCTACAAACCAAGGACAGAGGCCTCAGAAGAAACCAAACCTGCTGACACTTGATCTGGTACTTCTAACCTCCAGAATTGTAAGAAAATAAATTTCTATTGTTTAAACCACTTAGTCTGTGGTATTTATTATGGCAGCCTTAGCCTTCACTTCATATGATAGTGAACCCCGCACAATAAGATAGGGAAAAAAAGGTGTGAGAATTAGAAAGGAGGAAACCAAATTATAATAATCCCAGGTAAAGTGCACCTGGTGGCTCAGTTGGTTGGACTTCTTGACTCTTGATTCCAGCTGGGGCCATGATCTTGGGGTCATGAAATCGAGCCCCCAGTCAGGCTCTGCACTCAGCAGGAAGTCTGCTTGAAATTCTCTCTCTCCCCTTCCCTCTGCCCCTCCTCCTGCTCTCTTTCTCTCAAATAAATAAATCTTGGAAAAAAATAATCCCAGGTAATATGATTGTCTATGTAGAAAACCTTAAAGAATATACTAGTTAACTATTAAAAACAATAAAACATTTACAAGTTTTTCAAATTAAAAATCAGTATACAAAAATCAGTTCTGGTGGTACTTCTGTAATGATGGAGTGAGGCTCCCTGAAAATCTATTACTCCATAAAAGCAATGAGAACACTGATAAAAAATTCTAAAATCATCTTTTTTGAACTCAAAATTAACCAAAGGTTTATAACAACCTAATGAATATGTACATAAGAAAATAGCTGAATCTAAGAATAGCAAGATTCGTGATGCTTAACCATGACCTAGTCCCATCCTTTTCTCCCCAGTTTTGTAAAATCATTGAAAACAAATAACTTCACAATCACAGTAGCCATGAAAACCAGGAGCCTAATTAGCCCCTAGTGGGGCAGAATGGGTTTGGAACCCTCTAAAAAGCCCCGTTTTCAGAGAATTGTCATTATTTAACATATCTGATTCCTCATTAACCCCCAATCAGAGGGCTTATCTTTATTTGACCTGATTCAAAGCTTGCTTAGTGTGAACAGCCTTTTCCCCAGGACATTTGTTGAAAACAATCAGAGGCAATTGCTTAACATCTCAACTGCCTGAGTTGGAAAAACAACTGGGGCAAACAAAAAGCTGATCAAACACCTGAAAGGAAAGTCTTGGGAATAAAATATCCATAGGGGATTTTGAAAAACTCGACATAATCCTGGGACTCTAGAAGGTCATACACATGTGACTATACCCATGTTCAGGAAGGACCTGAGAAAACCTGAATTTCCCACCACTGCCTCACCTTGAAGCCCTGGGCAAGCAGGAACTGAAGACTAATGTAGAGGTGTAAGCTGCCTCCTAGAGACTTGAAAATATTCCCCACCATACACGAAATGCCCTTTGGCAATACCTGGGTGATATCCTGATTCAAGGCATTTCAGGAAGTCTTTGTTGTTACTTAACACTAAGTGAAACTGAGCAGAAATTTCAGTGACCACATATGACAACAAAACAAAACAAACCAAACAAACCAACAACTACAAAGTTCACAGACGTGTTCAGGAAGTCATTAAACAAAAGGCAATAACATCATCAACACAAACCACAAACAGTGATAACAACTAACCCTGGGGAGGGGGGAATCCCTGGGTAGCTCAGCGGTTTAGCACCTGCCTTTGGCCCAAGGTGTGATCCTGGAGTCCCGGGATCAAGTCACACATCGGGCTCCCTGCATGGAGCCTGCTTGTCCCTCTGCCTGTATCTCTGCCTCTCTCTCTGTGTCTCTCATGAATGAATAAATAAAATCTTTAAAACAAAACAAAACACTGGGGTGGGAGGGAATCTGATTCCCAGAGCTTCCACATATGTAAAATGTCCAGTTATCAAGAACAACAACAAAAATATGAGACACAAAGAAACAGGAAGTATGGTCTACACAGGAGGAAAAATCATTCAATAGAAACTATCCCTAAGGAAGCGTGGATATAGGACTTACTAGACAAAATCTTTAAATTAGCTATTATAAATATGTTCAAATAATTATAGAAAACCATCTCTAAAGAACTGAAGGTATGAGAACAATGTCTTACCAAATAGAGACTATCAATCAATAAAGAGTAATTATGAAAAAGAACCAAATAGAAGTTTGGAGTAGAAAAGTACAATAACCGAATGAAATATTTCGGAGAGGACCCCATAAGCAGACTTGAGCTGGCAGAAGGAAGATTCCGTGAACTTAAATATAGGTCAGTTGATATTATCAAGTCAAAGAAAAG